GCTACGCTACCAGTATCACGAGGGTAACGAGAGATGGTACGAGACACAAAAGGTTTATTCACATTTAAATGCTGGAATGCTTGAACGATAGCAACTTGTGGTTTTCCAGCCAAGTATAAAGAAATCACACTATCACGCTTGAATTCCATCACGATTAACAATTTTTTTCTGGAAAATTCTCACCAAAATGCTTTTGTACGCTTGTAAACAATAATGAGCTGTCACTGGAATAATTTTAACAGCTTTTGGATGAGTGGCGTAGAAATGACTGCAGTCTGAAGTTGGTTGCAGTTTTTCATCTTACCCTGTATATTTTTGTCCGATATCAGGTTTATTGTGCACCAAATGGCAAATTTAAGCCAAAATTGACTGCAGTTTGGCAATTCTGGCAGAATTCAGCCTAGAAGCAAGTTCTTCAAATTTGGAGGAAATCGGTTAAGATATAGATATATATATGTTTCATCCGATTTGGTATTTAAATTCGTAATATGCACTCGACAACAATGATATTTGGTAGCAGATACTTTATAGAAATACCTTTGCCAAATTTTATCGAGATCGATCCTTTATCAGATTTCAGGTTTATTGTGTCATTATTTTGCTAATATTAGTCCAAATGTAGTAAAATTTCGGGACGTATGTTTCTATTTTGTGGAACCCGCCTCCGATACATATTTTTTTTAATATAATCCTTCTCGATGTGATATAATGCACTGTATAGCAATGCTATTTGGTATAAAACTTAAAAACATCTTCGTCGAATTTAGTGAAAATGGATTCAGAATTGAATATGCCTCCCACATATTAGTCCCATCTGAACCCAAATTGTAACTGCTCTAAATCCAAATTTTGATAGGTGGTATGATCTACATCAAATAAATTCCTTTGTTACGGGGGCTTTACTAAATATGCATAGTGGTGTAGGGTATCATATAGTCGGCCCCGTCCGACTTTTGACTTTCCCCTTACTGGTTCATACCGGCTGCACTATAGTATTTTTGTGCTCGTTGAAACTGTACAAATTTTCACACCTTGGTATGTATATTATTTACCCCAAAAAAGAGAACTGTTTACAAAAAAAAAAGCCAACCAAAATACGAAATCTACTTTTGTCACAAAAAAGAATCAGATATACTTCAGTAACAACACCACAAAACTTATTATTATGTCTGCGAGCAATTTGACAAACAAAAATGTCAGCCATTGTTGTTTACAACAATGTAACATAAGTTCGTGCCCAAAATATGACGTATATCCTCTAATAATAAATGTGGTTTTCGTTTGGAGATTGCAAGGAAATCAAAGCAATGACTAAGCATCAAATCCGCGTCAACCAAGGACATATTTTTTATTGTCATTGAAATTTTGTTCAGCTTTTTCGCTGGCGAGTAACAGGTGCAAAATGTCCCATTTATGGTGACAACAATGGCTAAAAGGGACAATTCACAAACAAATCGGATATTAAAGTTTTATTGTTCGATTTGAATGGCTATTGAAGTGCTTTGATTTCATTATGCAAAAAAATATGGCTTTGGAAAATTCGCTTTGTGGCCTATAGTCTTTGGGGGTATATTAAAGACGCAAGAAAGAAAATTTCATGATGGGTCAAGTTTCCGTGTAATGACGTGTAGAATTTTACGATATTTTTGTAGAACATTTCGTACTTATAACCCGATTTTTTCTATGTCTTTTTCGTCCTTTTTTCTTTTAACCAAGGTGCAAATACAAAAAGGGAGTCTTTGATAGCGAAAAGTTCTAAAAAAATTCTGCTCAGAAGATTTTTGGTAAACTTCTTAAGAGCTGAAATCTAGAGTTGTGCCAATCTAGTTCGATCAAACACATTAGTTTCTTTTCTTGTTTCGTAGACTCCGGTCGCTTATGAGTGCGTATGAGTGTTATGAAATATATGCAATTTATGAGATCACTCATACGTTTAGGAACTGTTGTTCTGAACTATGAACTAGATTGACATAATTCAACCGGAAATCGATTTTGTCATGTTTTCCATTATATTATCATGTTCTTTTTCGCTTTTACCTCTACTTCTGCTCATGAAACTGGTATGACCATATATATCAGTAAATTTCGTATAAGCTACTTATAATGTAGAACGTTCAGGTACATATGAACTATATATCATTTCTTCTTGTTAGACAGACCTGAATTTTGAACTGGATATTCAAATATACAAATACGACATATAACCAGTTTAAAATAACTGATTAAACTATATGTGTATCATTAAAAAGCTTAACTTCAAATACCAATGAAATCGATTGGAGAATGCGGTTAGTCTTTGGAATACCATAAAGGAAGTAGTACTGATAGGGCGGTTTACCAGAACATAAATCTACGTAGAAAACTTGTATAGACCAAAAAGTGTCTCATCAAAATAATGGTTTTAGACCCTGCAATTATTCAAAAAAAAAAAAAGGACTCATGTGATTTAGTGGGTATATGAAAACTTTGCTTCTGGATTTACCGTCTAGGGTTCAAAATTTTAATTTAAAAATTTTAATAAAATAAATAATTACAATGTGCGACAATTTCAAAGGTCGTGGCTTGGTTCATGGATCAAAATCCCAAGAGGGTTTTGGGTTTCCAGGCCAAATTTTGTTGGGCCGATTATATATATAGCCTTAACCATGCACAAAGAACCTCAAATATTTTGCTCTATGCTTCGTAGAATTTAAGATGTAGCTTTAAAAATTGCAAATCCCTATAACATAACGTATGATTATATATCCCTTAATTGGATGCAAGACCTTCGAAACCTAAAATAACGGACCAGCGACGCGGACAGATATTGCTAGACACGAACCGTAATTTAATTTTAGCCATTAACTATACAATGTTGAAGTTAATAGATAATTTTGAAAATCGTTTTTTTACCCTCCACCATACATAGTATGATTAAATTTTGCACAGATAAGGCTCAATCGGTCCATGATATCGAATAGTCCTATACAACAGTACCCCCCGATATTCGGTATTTTGATGATTTTAGCCACATTTTTCATTGGAATTATCAGAACTTCTACACAAGGAGTTCTTAAGGCGTACTTTACCCGCTGGAAGAGATTTGTCTATATGGGTCCACGATATCGTATTAAAAATTCATTTTAGGGTTAAAGCCGTACTCATTTTAGAAGCATGACATTAAGACAAAAATATTTTCCATTAAATTGTATTATGAGTCACCAAAGAAAGAAGTCTCTATTGCAATTATATGCCAACACATCTTCAATGTTCCGAAAAAGCCGAAAATATTTATTAATTTTTGGTTAGTTTTTTCCCTTTCTTATTTCGATTTAACGCCAGAAAGTTTCATAATTTTTTTGTTTCACGTAGAAGGTATCCGAGGGAGAAATATTCTCCACAGAATAAATCATATATGTATGTATAATAGTTTTTTATAGAAAACGCATCCAATCCTTGTCAAAATCTCCCTCTATTTTTAATTCTTTGTCAAAGTAAGAATTATTCCAGATCAAATTTCATTAATCTCTGAACAAGAAAAACTTGTATACTTAATATTTTTCATTAAAAATAAAATCATAATTATACCCTACACCACAAGGTGGTCAGGGTATTATGTCTTTGTGCATTTGTTTGTAACAGGCAAAAGGAAACAAGATAGACCCATAGTTCCTTTTGATGATCTGCATAGAATCACATTCTGAGTCGATTTATGCATGTCCGTCCGTCCGTCCGTCTGTCGTCTGTCCATGTATTTTTGTAAACAAAGTACAGGTCGCATTTATTATCCGATCCAGATGAAATTTTGCACCAAACGTGTAATATCAGCCCGAATTGTATGGAATTTTGCATATACACCCAAATTAATATATAAAATAAGTATGCCAAATTTGATCGAAATCGGTTCAGATATAGCTATAGCTCCCATATATATTGTTGATCCGATTTGTTATTTTTGTCCTCCGCAGCCGTAATATGCACTCTGCAACAACAATATTTGGGGAAATATATCAAATACAGCTCAGAAATACATTTGCCAAATTTTATCGATATCGGTTCAGATTTGGATATAGCTCCCATATATAACTTCGTCCGATTTACCTTTTATTGTGCACCAAACGTCAAATATTTGTCTAAATGGGATGGAATTTGGCACTTACGGCCGAATTGAGTCTAGAAGCTAGTATGTCAAATTTGGCGAAGATCGATTCAGATATAGCTATAGCTTCCATATATATTGTTCATCCGGTTTGTTGTATTTGTTACCCACAACCGTAATATGCACTCCGTAACAACGATATTCAGTGAAATATATAAAATACAGCTCAGAAATATCTTTGCCAAATTTTATCGAGATCGGTTCAGATTTGGATATAGCTCCCATATATATTTTTATCCGATTTTAAACCAAGTGGGCAACACAAGTCCGAATTTAAAACATACAAATACTTCGGCATAACTTTAAATTATAATTATAATCATAGCGCGTATGATTGAATTCTCTCATAAAAACTTTTAATTGTTATGCGGAGCTCTACTAAATTAGCAAAGTGGTGTAGGGTATCATAAAGTCGGCCCCGCCCGACTTTAAGACTTTCCTTACTGGTTTTAAAATAGATTTGTGATTAATATTTTATTTTTCGAATCATTGTACCTTGTTATTATAAGCAAAAAATGGTGATAAAAATACCTAATTAAAATTAAAAAAGTAATGTTTGCCTTTAACGATGACATATCACATTTTCAGTTCATATTACAAAGGGAACACTGCAAATGTCAATCAAAACATTTTTAATTACTGCAAAGGAAGTGTTTCCGTCTATTTTTTTTTTGTTTCTAAAGCTCAGCCACTTGGCAAAGGAGACGTAAAAAAATCAAAACAGCACAAACATTCCATAAAAATAATAATTTCAAAATTTTATAACTTTTATTCTATTTGATACTGTTTCCTGTTTATTATCTGTTACTTATGATGTCCTCTTTTGTGCTCATGTTCATGTCTGCTTTTCTTTATTTTACAGAATGATTATTTCCTTTCGAAGCGTAACAAACCCTCATTGTCGATTGTGAATCCACTGGATGTGCTGCGGCAGCGTTTGCTTTTGGAAATAGCTCGCAGGCAAATGAAAGAAAACACAAGACAGGTAAGTTTCCCAGAAACCGACAAAATCAGAGAGGGAGTGAGAGAGAGTGAAGAAAAAAAAATAATAATTGAAATACTTTAATGCTGTGTTGGGAAATATTTTTGTTTGCAATAAAATATTTCAATCTTTTTGGATGAAATATTTTACCGTTTTCTTGCCAAAAGGACTGGCCGGGTTATGGCATGTTTTCCTTCCAAGATTGGCATTTCAGACGCAAAAACTTTTCCCATAAAATATGAAGTACATAAGTTGAAATAAATAAATTCCCATCAAAGACAATGCTACCTGCAAAAGGTATTCAGGATTTGGTAGTTTTTTGTTGCAAATCATATAATTTAAGTAATTTTTTTTGAGTTCAAACGAATATAATTGATATTGATAAAATTCTCAAAAAGAAATGGAACTTTTAAAGGAATTCCTTTTTGGGATTGTGTACAGGTATTTTCCAATATTAATTGGAAAATGCTCAATAAACATTCCATGCCGAATATATTGGGCAGAGTCTCAGGCTAATTCATTGAACTTTACAATTAGAATTTATTGTTTAGAAACTATTTCAACATGGGAATGCAATCCAAGGTATTACTTTGTTGTTGTTTGAAATGTAATTGAAAGGGAAGATATACTCAAAGCTTCCTTTGATATTTTGTTATTGCAATAAAAACAACGTTTGTTTATTAGTGGAGAACGATGGTAATGTTTACCAGGGGGTAAGGCAGGAAATACCTAGGTTTCGGAAAGAGCCACCAATCCTCTTCAGTTCCCTTGTTTTTTGTCTAAGTGGAGAATCCACAGGAGTTATTTTAAAAATAACTATTATTTCATTTAGGAAATGAAGCCACGTTTTAAAACTGGATTGTTTAAAGTTCATAGATTTCATAATGGGTTCTAACTTTACTGGGAAAAAAATTCTATATAGGTCCACGTTGTCCTGTAGCTTTCATATAACTGTAATTCCAAATATTCGGTATTTTGAAGATCTAGACAACATTACCTAATAGAATTATCTACAATTCGTAACGGGCTTTGCCTCCTGTTGCAGAATATTATCTATGGTAGGTACTGTTATGCGAGGCCTATAAGATTATGTGGACCTATAATCTTATAGGCCTGGCATAACAGTACCTCCCAATATTCGGAATTTGGACGATGTAAGCCACATTTCAAACGGAATTGTTTAAAATTCGTAGTGGATTTTACCTCCTGTGAGAGATCACTATCATTATAGGTTCAAGTCTTGTTATGCACCATCATGTTTTGGTACTTCCTGATGTTCGGCATTCTATTGATTTTAGCCATATTTTTTAGGGAAATCATTTAAAATTCGGTATGTAGAGTTTGAAAGGGGTTCTGTTTTCTGTGGCAGAAGACTGCTGACATAAGCTCATTAATTATTTTATGAGTCATAAGTCGGTACCTCCGAATATTTGGTATTTTAATGACTTTAGCCGCATTTTCAGCAGATTTGTTTTTAATTTGATGTTTGAAACTCGCAATAGAATGCAGGAAACAGTGGACTTTTCGGTATTTTCAGACTTTTTGCCAATCGACTTCACTGGCAAAATTCTTTTCATCTAAAGGGTTCAACTCATAATGGAGGGTATGAAAGAATAATAGGCAAATGTTTATCATTTATACCAAAAAGCCTTCAAAATCTTTCATTTTAAAGTTTACCGAGGAGGATATTAGTAAAACCGGATCCACATCCAATTATCCTCCCCAAAACTAGTTCAACGTCTTTAGATCCAGAAAAGCAATATGGACCTCAATATCAAATATCAGAATTTCAGCTCTATCCTTTCAGCCAATACCATATTTAGTAACATTTAGTACTCATATCCATACCAATCTGCACATGGCCATCCAAAAGACAAACAATTATTTTTCGAACACTTTTGGTAAGCATGAGCAAAACCACCCACAGATACCAAAAGAATTCTCCATATAAATTAGTACTTTTCGTACAAATATAAGACGCATTTCTAAAACATCGTCAAATCTCAAACACAGATACCACCATTAATCTAAATAACAAATCTTAGATATCTTATATCTTTATCCCTTCACCCAATGCCAAATATAGTACCATTCAGTACTTTTCATACAATTATAGAACACATTTCAAAAACACTTACATATGTCCAGCCTACACATGAAGAAAGATCCTTATACCAAATTTCAGATTTCAAGCACCAAATCTTCACCTAATACTAAATTGTGATAAATATTAAACTATTTATTACTTTTCGTGCATTTGTAGTACACATTGCCAAAACCACTTCTTTATCACAAACCTACCCCCAACAGGGACCTCAATACAAAATGTCAGCTTCATCCGTCCACCAATCTGTTTCAAATTTAGTACCTTGTAGTTCACATAAGTACAGCTTCCTACATGCCCCAATCCTACACTCCGATAGTAATCTTATTTTCAATTTTCAGAATACCAGGCAAATTTAGTACACTTTAGTACAAATTTTCGTAACTAACTACATCATACAGTCTAATCTTCATATTTTAAATTTTCAGAATTTCATTCTACCGGCCCACCCAAAATTTAATTTGTACCAATTTTACCATTTAGTACAAATTCCTTTTCCTTTCTTATTTCTTAATTTTAGCCTACACTCCACCATTAATTTTAATTTCCAATTTCAGGATTCAAATTTTAAATTGTACAAAATTTAGTACCGTTTAGTACTTTTCGCATAAATGAGTACACACTTCCAAAACAACGTTTATACAAATATGCCCACAAATTTCAAACTTTTACTCTAACCCTTCACATGATACATAAAAACACCCTTTGGTACATACCCCATATATTTCAACAGTGATCTTTATTCCGAATTTAAGAGTTCTAGCTCCATTGCTTCCTCGAATACAAAGGGTACAATAATTAATACATCTTAATAATATTGGTAATAATCGGATCAGATTTAGATATAGCTCCTACATATCTTTAACCGATTTCGGTTTAATAGTGCACCAAATGGCCAATATAAATCCAAATGACCTGAATTATTGCACATCCAGCCGAATTCAGTCGAGAAGCAAGTACATTAAATTTGGGGAAATCGGCTCAGATATAGATATAGCTCCCATATTTATGTTTCATCCGATTTGGCGTTTAAGTCCTTCACATTCATAATATGCATTCGACAACAATGACATTTGATACCAGAAATCAGATACACCACATGTATTATAGAGCTAGAGGCTTAGATTTGGAAATAGCTCCCATATATATTCTTAATCCGATTTTAGGTTTATTGTGCAAATAATGGCTTATAGCAGCCCTAATGGCGTGAATTTCGGGACGTACGTTTCCCTTTTTTGAAAATCGGCTACAATTTTTTATAATTAATTTTAGCGACATTATTTATCGGAATTTTTTCAAATTTCATATTTAAAGTTCGTAATGGGTACTACAGTCTGTGACAAAAATTTTTGTATGCAGGTCCACGTCTTCGTATAGTCCCCATATAACGGTTTTCATTTAAGTAGTAGTTTTCGTAAAAGATTAAAATGTCTCCGTCAAATTTAGATATGCCTCCCATATATTAGTTCCCTTTGAAACCAAATTATAACTGCTCTAAAGCCAAAATGTTGATAGGTGGTATGATCTATTTCAAATAAATTCTTTTTTGACGGGAGCTATACTAAATATGCATAGTGGTATAGGGTATCATAGAGTCGGTTTCGACCGACTTTTGACCTTTCCTTACAGGTTTAACTATTAGAGATCCTCTGTTTTCACCACACGTTTAGAATTCTTCAAATGTTTTTCAAAAAATGTAATGTTTTCCTCGAAGTCATACAGAAATTCTCCGTTGTTTTAACACTGTCAACAAATCTGCTCTTTTAACTTGAAGTTTATTGGTCCAAATTTAGATATATCTCTCATAATATGCTTCATCCGATTTGATATTTATATCATCCATAGCCTCAATATCCACTGCATAACAACGATATTCGGGACAGAATATCAAATATAATTCAGAGACACCTCTAGATCGAGATCTCTTCAGATTTGGATATAGCCCCCAAATATATCTTCATCCGGGGGGCTTGTCGAAATTTAATTATACCTAATGTTTTTTGGTCCATTCTTATACTTTTGCACAACTTTTTCATTCTAATGTCAAATATAATATACCTGTCTGGTTTTCATAATTTTGGTGTCCTTAGTCATAATTCACAAAAGAAGTGGTGTTGTGACAAAAAAGCTATCCTTAAATTTGGCATATCTAAAAAGTTATAACAAGAAATGCCAATCTACGTAAACATCGGTTGAAATAGTTAGTTATTCCCATCGTCGATGTGTATCCATCTTCTTAAATACATACCTCATACAATGAAGCCAATTTCTTAATAGCCAAAAATTTGTTGGAAATTACCTGGTCACACACACACACTTACACCAAGCAAGCCAAGTAAATATTGATCTATTACATTATTAAACTGTCATTACCCGAATCAAATGTCTGCCTATTTTCCTACGTGGCTGATTTTTGTTGTTGTTTATTTTGTCAGTCTGCTGTCAACGATACACTCAATTATATAATTACTAAATTTCTGGGTAAACCCCCAAACACACACATCATGTATACATAACAAATATACTCCTCTGATTGATGGATCGATTGATTTTGGCGTTTGTCACCAAAAGATGGGTTGGCAAGCACATATTTTACAGCACATATTACCTTGAGGCCATTGAACAACTTATGTCTTCATCTTCAACGTATGCGTGAGAAATCTGATCGATCTAATCGCAGTAAATAAGGTGCCGCAAGCAGTAGTATGAATTGTTGTCATAAATCCTTTCCAGAATAGAGGTTTATTGAAAAATTCGAAATCATCTTTCAATCATTCATTCACACCGTCATAAATGCAAACGTGTATTGGTCTTGTGTATATAACTCAATTTTAAACATTGCTGGAATTTCTTTAACAAAATAAACACCCATAAAGTACTTTCAAACAGACATACATAG